GTTTTTCGGGAGTTCTTTTCAATTATTTCTCCTTGAAAGAAGAGGAATCAAGTTCACAATACCAGTTTTTCATGAAGACCAAAAAATTAGCCCTGAAAGTTGTGGCATTCAAATAATAGCCCCAGGAAATGATAGAATAGTTCGTCTGTCACGCTTCTGAACTATTCCTAAATACAATAAGTGACATGAGATCTTATGTTGCTAAAATTCAACTCAAGTCGTGCTAGCCATTCTATGAGTTATCATGGGAAGCGCAGTGTTTGAAATGCTAAAAATTTCCAAGTACCAATGGGGAGTAGTCGGCGCACGACGCCGTCTCCTGTTCACACTCGAATTGCAGCCGTTTTGTACGCTTGTGTCCCCGTCTACGCCCGTCTACGGTATGAAAAGTTTTGATCGATCCAACTCTTCCCGTCGCTTCCCGATCTGTACGGTAGTACGGTTGCGTTCCCGTTCCTGGTGTTCACATTGGACGCCGTCAGACCGTGCCGTCGCTTCCCGTCGATCCTTACGTCGCATCCCGTCGAATGTGAACTAGGCTTTAGCTTCAACACATCTCCGTAGCGCTAACCAACAGCCTTCCAACTCGGAAGGCTCGGAACGTTCATAGTATAATAGTGTAATAATATAATAGTATAATAATATAATAATATAATAGTATAATAATATAACAATATAATAGTATAATAAAATGTTCACTAGTCTGAGGGAAAGAGACAAACGGGAAAAGTCTGAAGAAAAAATTGACTGTAACCACCAAAGTATAATAATATAATAGTATAATAATATGTATATGTTATCGCATGGTTGCAAGAGCCTTATGGCATATTATTGCCCCGAGAGGTTAGCCCGAGGGCCGTAGGCCCGAGGGCTAACCTCGAGGGGCAATAATATGCCATAAGGCCCGCAGCAACCATGCGATAACAAATTTATCACATGGCCCACAGAGCAGACCATCGGGCTGCTGTTGAAATTAGCCCAAATGCCAACACATTATGACCAAAATGTATATTGATGTGCTATCATTATCAAAACAGGAAAAATGAAGATATTTCTCCAACATCCTAACAAAAAGTCTGCTACAGGCCATCAGAGAGTATACAGTACTGAAAGACGGAGACAGAAAAAAGTGCCGGCACCGCATCGTCATAGCAATAGACATGGCAATGACAATAAAATACAGCAGAATCATAATTTCAGTTGAAAATTAAGAGTGCTACCACAAAGAGTTTCTTCATGTTTACATGTGTATCAGGAAGTTGTCAAATACAGTACTGCAACAAGTGCAAGTATTTGACGACTCCCTGGTGTGTAATTCTGAGGACAATTTTTCTTCTTTTTTCCAGCTCCAGATAGCTGTATTTTTCATTGCAAAATATTCCTGAATTGTGTTTGTTGTTCAAGCAAAGGTGAAGGCAGAGGACAGATGAGCCTGGTAAGAGTTTTGCGTGGCACATGAAGACCACACACAGGCAGTGACTTTGCGAGGATCTGAAAACGCATGACGCTGAGTTGAATTTGTGTTATTTCAAATAATTATTTGTGATCACAGTACCACTTCGAGCAGAACTGAATCTTATCCACAAGCTTACCGACGGTCAGGCTGCCAACATGACTGAACAAATGATCCCTGCAAGCAGCACACGGCAGACGTCCGAATCCATGTCCATTGCCGGGATGTCCATCTCCAAAAAGAATTCCATCTTCGTCTCAATGCTACACTGCGACTCGTCGTAGAGTCGTACACACGGTACAGTCTACAGACTAGTACAGAGCTAGCCTAGAGTCGTCGTAGTCACGCAATCACTGAAATAAACTATTTGTTTGCGGTCAAATAAACTATTTTTTTGCGGGCAATATCGCATATTATTGCCCGCGGCGCGAAAGGTGCTGATTCGCTGGAGTACGGGCAACAATCACGTGCCATGTGATAAAATAATATAATAATATAATAGTACTAGATATATATAGTATCTAGTAACAGTGGTGGAGAGTTACTCTTAACTCGTTTCCATATGTCCTTTTCCTTTCTACTTTTATTATTGGCTTAATACCCGAGTTTCAAATAATATAATAGTATAATAGTATAATAATATAATAATATAATAGTTTGAAATAGTCTAAAAATATAATAGTAGAATTATAGTGTCTAGTGTGTAGTCACAGTAGTATAATATATATACCCAATGCTACTACCCAATGTAGTATATTATATATATATATATATATATATATACACTCAGACACAAAGGATCTCCAAGTTTCTCAGTGTTGCTACTCTGAGTTCTAGGTGGGAATCACAGGTGGAGAAAAGAAGCACGCTAGCCAGTCTAGGTGGGAATCACAGGTGAAGATAAATGTGGCAAGTGTGGTAGTGTGAGCAATCGCGCAGGCCGGGTGGTGTGCATAAAGTGAAGTAGGATGCATGCACATTAGATAGCAGGAGTTCTGTATATGTGTAACAGATAGCAAGCGCAGTCTACCTATGCCTATCGGAGAAGATCGCCATAATGAAGAGTGACAAGGCATCGCTCCTCAACACCAGATGCAGCCTGGTCACAAAATGTCGCCACAGCACCAAGTACCTCCTATCGGAGGTGACCTGAACTGTAGACTGCGCTTGCTATCTGTTACACATATACAGAACTCCTGCTATCTAATGTGCATGCATCCTACTTCACTTTATGCACACCACCCGGCCTGCGCGATTGCTCACACTACCACACTTGCCACATTTATCTTCACCTGTGATTCCCACCTAGACTGGCTAGCGTGCTTCTTTTCTCCACCTGTGATTCCCACCTAGGGTGCTTCTTTTCGTCTTTTCTGGTATGTAAAGGGATACTGATGTGAGAGAAGAGTAAGTTGCCTGAAGAGTGCTTTTGCACGAAACTCAGAGTAGCAACACTGAGAAACTTGGAGATCCTTTGTGTCTGAGTGTATAACCCCGCTCTGTCTTAGGACATTGAGCACTTTTTGCCGACGCAAGAAATACTTCTATTGTTCTATATATATATATATATATATGAACTGGTTTTGAGGGAAAGAGACGAACGGGAAAAGTCTGAAGAAAAAATTGACTGTCACCACCAGGACTCGAACCAGGGACCCTCGCTTGTAGCCAGCGATGCTCTAACCACTGAGCTATGGTGTAGTCATAGCATATGGTGTAGAGTATATATATATATACTCAATCTGCGGACAGCATGCTGTTTCGTTCTTTGTGGACTCTTCAGCGCAGCACAGAGGAAATGAGGCCGAACCTGATAGCAATGGAAATAAAAATTTCCAATCAGGCCCGAACGTACCTTGCCAGAGTGCTCAAACTGACAAGTCAGTGAGCTCTGCATAATGCAAACAGCAAAGGCACTACCCCACGCAAGAGTGCTCAACTGCTACAAGGGCAGGAGCGAAATACTTGAGTATATATATATACACACAACAACAAGGTTGTAAGTTTCATAACACTAAAAGCTTTTCACCCATTTTCATCAGTAGGTACATGGGAATGAGCAAGAACGAAAACGAAGCCAGAATTTATACTGGGGGTAGAGAATCAGCAAGAATATTCTTACGCGCCTCAAGTTCACACTACACTACCATAAGAATGTATGGAGCAGTGGAAAAATGCGGGAAACAACACATGAAGGGAATGCAGTACCAGAACAAACACGTGATAAAGTTGTCAGTCCGGTTGCAGCTTGAGGCCGAACCTGATAGCAATGGATATATAGAGTCTGCTATATATAATTATATATTTATATTTTTATTTTTTTATATATATTTTTATTTTATTTTTTTATATATATATATATATATATTTTTACCAGAGCCACGTAAACCTGTCATGTGTTAGCCATGAATACGGGGAGTGGTGGCGTGGTCTGGGATGCTCTGCCGACCTTGGGTCTCGGCTTCATCACAACGAGGCGCGCCAATAGAAGAGAGAGAGAGAGAGAGAGAGAGAGAGAGAGAGAGAGAGAGAGAGAGAGAGAGAGAGAGAGAGAGAGAGAGAGAAGAGAGAGAGTGTGTGTGTGTGTGAGAGAGATAGATAGATAGATAGATAGATAGAGAGAGAGAGAGAGAGAGAGAGAGAGAGAGAGAGAGAGAGAGAGAGAGAGAGAGAGAGAGAGAGAGAGAGAGAGAGAGAGAAGAGAGAGAGGAGGAGGTGAGAGAGAGAGACAGAGAGACAGAGACAGAGAGAGACAGAGAGAGACAGAGAGAGACAGAGAGAGACAGAGAGAGACAGAGAAAGAGAGAGAGAGAAAGAGAGAGAGAGAGAGAGAGAGAGAGAGAGAGAGAGAGAGAGGGAGAGAGAGAATGAGAGAGAGAGAGAGAGCGGGGAGAGTTGGGGAGCAAGAGAGGGGAGAGAACTAAATATAGTATAACTATTATAATGAGTAAGGGGTGCGCATTCAGATCAAGAGAAAAGGATAAGCAGGGCACGAGGCGTATGGCAATATGCAGCAGTGTGTAGGCAGATGTGCATTACAGAGTGTCAGTGGTCCAGTGCCATTGCTGAGCACGGAGGTGCCGGAAGACAGACGCTTTGAAACTTTGCAGCCGTTTCCGGTCAGGTGCACCCAAACACCATCGTCTCTTGGATAGTCTCCGGAATGAATCATGCCAGCCCTATGGAACACGCTTACGAGTTAAAGCGCTGTGGACCCTGGCTAGCGCCAGACGCTACTGAAGTTTCTTATTTTGCATAGTTTTGGGTATTAAGCTTTGTGGACCCTGGCTAGCGTGAGGCACTAGTATTAATTTTTGTATTGTCTTCGGCATGGCTAAGGAAATGAGGACCCTGGCTAAGTATGACACAGCTATGTAACGAGCTTCAGACAGCTTTGGGAAGCGACTGGCTATGTGCCATTTGCAGTCAGTGCTACTCTAGTGAGCACAGCACGGCTCCATCTCTTCAGATTGGTCATACTATTTTAGCGCATACCACACCATACTGCTTCAATATACATTTCTGACCGTTTCACAAGCTGGCTAAAACAATTTCGTGAAGTGTTGACTTGTTGATGATGAGCAAGGTAAGACATTGAATAAAACTCGATACATGTACTGAGCATAACAACTAACCTTTACAAAGCCTAGGTTTGGGTCTGCCACACTTTCAGTCTCGTCACTTTCTAGACATTCGGCCATCGGAAAACATCCTGACTGCTCAATTTTAAAATTAGCACACCTATTCAAGAGAGTGCATAAGAAAATGCAAAAAGCAAGCAATGTGAGAGTTTGGTCATGTCCTTTTGCAAGTGCTATGAGCTTGATAATACTCCTATCTTGAAAATGTTCTAGATTCTGAATTCTTTGCTTTATGCGTTATTGCGTGGACTAATTGAGGAGTGGGGATTGGTCGGCGTATTTGTCAGCAGCGGCTGAAGCTTCTAGCAAAACTCTCCCACTATGGTGTCCAGGGCAACTCTCTGGAGTGGTTCCTACGGTACCTGTTGGGGCGTCGGCAAAGGGTCCAGGTGGATGGCGACCTATCGCCCTATTTCGGGATCCCTGCCGGCGTCCCTCAGGGATCTGTTCTTGGGCCGCTTCTATTCCTCATCTACACCATAGACCTTCCACACGCATGTGAGAATTCCGGCACCACCTGTATCCAATTTGCAGATGACACCGCTCTGATTTCCATAGCGAGAACTCTTCAAGACTACACCCGAAACCTACAAGAGAGTGTCAAAGCAGCTGAATACTGGCTTCAAAGATGGCACCTGCTGGTTATCACGAAGACAACACTCACTCTCCTGTTCTACCACAATAACCGCCCCCCCCCTTCCCCCCTGAACAGCTACCCCAGATCACCCTCAGGAATAGTCCGCTTACCGTAGCACCTCGAAATAATCTTTCAGCATGACCTCCGTTGGACGGAGCATGTTGAATACATAGTAAAAAATCACTCAAGTCTTTCAATATTCTTTTTAGACTAAGGTCTACACTCACCAGTGAATCTTTATCTCACATCTACCAGACATACATACTACCTATATTCTCATATGTGAGCAATGCTCTCACACCGTTGTCACACACTTCCCTTGACAGGCTAGAACGACTCCAGCGGAGAATATGTCTCCACCTTCCCCTTTACACACACTTAGAACACTCCAAATGTTTGCATCGCATCAAATGGCCAACATTATTTTCACGGTTTAAAGTTTTATATACTTCGCACATTCTCTGCGCCACAATTATGCCGCACCAAATATACTCTCGCTGCATACTGCTAGCAGCGTGCAACTTTCGTATAATTTTAGTCGCTCTTGTACTTGGCACTTGCCAACTCCGCGGACTGATCGCTGTCTCCATTCTCCCCTTTACAATGTTTCACGGCAGTATTGCATGGAACGCTCTCTCGGCTGATGTAAGATCGACAACTGCTGCCGATCAATTCAAGAGAGCCCTATCTGATATTGACCTAATTAACTTGTAAACTCTATGCCAACAGTCAAACACCTCTCGCTGTACTTCATGTTCCCTGGACTGCTAAAAATTGTGCCCATCCAACAACGTCTACCAATATTCACACATCTATTTTCATGAAATGCTTCCACTACATATAATTTGTTATCACAATTAAAAAAATTCACACAAATTGAGTGTCAGCATACACACAATGTCATAACAAACAGTTCTATAATAATAATTATACCGCTTGCATGTCTTTATCTCTATACATTTCCTCATATAATTTCTACAAAAGAGAAAGACCAAGGAACTACAAGTTACGCTATACTGTCTACTAACACCACCAGTTACTAAACAATCAGCTCATGCGATAACATTGCACGACACTGACCGACGGTACTGACATTCTACAACTAACTGGCTAACAGCTCTAGCACATCTAGGATGCGCACTCCAACAGCCTTCCAACTTGGAAGGTTCTAAGATAGAAATAACATAAGGAGGGGAAGGTGAGCGCAAGCAAGATAAGCACAAGCTTAAAGTCTCAGCTGTGAAGGACGTTGGCGGATCTTGGCATATCAATGACGATACTGGCAAGACCATTGGACCATACGGTCCAACCACGATTCAAGACGCAAAGCAACATTCCACACAACTTGTGTGGCTCAAAAGATGCGAAGATCAATAAAAAGGGAAGCTATGCGAACAAGAATCATGAAAAACCGAACGCCTCAGTAAAACAGCACTGTACTTCGTCTATGACAATTTAAATGGACAATAAGGGAGTGCGCATCCAAGATGTGCTAGAGCTGTTAGCCAGTTAGTTGTAGAACGTCAGTACCGTCGGTCAGTGCCGTGCAATGTTATCGCATGAGCTGATTGTTTAGTAACTGGTGGTGTTAGTGGACAGTATAGCGTAACTTGTAGTTCCTTGGTCTTTCTCTTTTGTATAAATTAAACCTTGGCTCTCCATCTGAGTTCATATAATTTCCTTCATCTTTCTGTGAGAACCGGACCTTTGGGCTGGTAAGAAGGCAATCATGCCTGTGCAATTGGTGATGTAAAATAGAAGTCAACAACAACAACAACAACAATGTCCTTCATTACTTTAATTGCTTGCCCACCCAGCTTCGCGAAATCCCTTCTCGTATTCTCTTCAAATCCCATATATCCCTGCTGTTGCACAACTCTGTATGCTCGTCTAGCGACCACACCTGCTCACTAGACAGGTTAGCATTTTACGGTTCACGCTATTTTCGACGGTCGGCCTGTACCGGTTCTTGTGTGCGTAGACATGGCATTTTACCGATCACGCGCTAGATCCAACGGTACTCGTACCCAACACCCAAAATACCGTCGGTTTGGTACCGTTTCAACGATAGAAAGCTCTGTTTGGCCGGAGAACGAAGCGGTAAGATTCCAACTAGGGTTACCTCACACGTCTATCGTTGCATCAGGAGTGAAGGCTCAGAAACCGAACTGCTAACCATGTCTCGAAAACACACAAAAAGCAGTATACTTGCCCTCTACACGTCGACCATCGAAAACAACAACAACAACAACAACAACAACAACAACAACAACAACAACAACAACAACAACGACCTTATAATTGAATAGGCATGCATTGCTGCCACCCCGCTCTCAATCGCAGCTCTTGACCATCTTGAGCGAATCCAACGCAAGGTGGCCAGCATGGGCCTCCGTCTACTCCTCTACACTCCTCTGAATCATTCAACACTGCTCCATCGGCTCAAATGGCCGACAATGTTCTCTTGCCGCAAAGTGAAGCTCACCCTTCTTGCCCACTCCATAAAATACCAATATGCCCCACAACACATACGAATGCTCAACACCCTCGATCAAGTTACGGCCCAGTATAGCCTTCCACACGCACGCACTTGGTACCTCCCACCCTCCAGAACTGATCGCTGTAAAGACTCCCCACTGTACAAGTCCCTAGAATACTACAATGCCCTCCCTGCTAGTATTCGTGACGTCTCCTCCCGACCTGCTTTCAAACAAGAAATCTGCGCACTGCTGATTAGCTCAATCTGCTCCTGCAGCTCTCACCCTCTCCCATACTTGTAAAATTCAAAGTGATGTAAATCACTTTCCAACTGCATAACCCACAGCCCCACCCACAGCATCTCACCTTCTCATAAACTTACTACCTCCGACAAGCAAAACTTGGCGTTTTTTTGATGTTTTTGTGGTGGTACCAAAAAAAGGCTGTGAGGTACGACCTACTTGTAGCTCCATGCAACCGGGTGCAGGAAGCCAAGCGACGGGCTGGTGATTGGCACATGGCTCAGACTTAGTCAGATTCAAGCGTGTCTCTCGTGTACCAGCAAAACTGTGCGCGCGTCCATTCTGCGAAGGAGAATTGTCGTGCTTTCGCGTTTCAATGCAAAACCAAGGAGTTCTCTCTCTCCTCTTGGTCACTCCGCCAGCACAGAGTCCATGCGTCCATGCCAAACAATCCTAGCCTCTTTCAACAGCCACCAGAGCGATGCGTCTCTGGTGGCTAAGGAAAATCGCCAGGAATTGCTGCAGGCAATTTTGGACAGTTGGCGAGAATACCCTGCAAAACAGTTGGAGTGCAGGCGCTTGTGGAGGTATTGCACAGTTCTTACCACGTCAATCTGGATAGTGGCGGCGGAAACGACTACCCTCGACACCGTGGCTCGAGCACAGCACACAGGAGCGACATCGAGATTTTCAGAGCGATTACAACAGAGGTATTTCCTGCAAATGAATCCGCTCTAGTCACACTTTCGTCTCCAGAAGAAACTGCGATCTCTGAATCAGAGGAGAGTTGTTCAGCCTAACAGATGTCTCTAATGTCCTTGTTGAGCAATACAAAGTTGAATTTTGGTGAGTCAATCATTAGTTTTGTTTATAAAGTGTGAGTTATTTCGAGTAATTTGAAGTAAAAAATCTCTTAACTTGTTATTGGCAATGGTGCCATCGTGAGAATAAAGAATTCAACAACAACAACAACAACAACAACAACAACAACAGCAGCAGCAGCAGCAACAGCAGCAGCAACAACAACAGCAGCAACAACAGCAGCAACAACGGCAACAACGGCAACAACGGCAACAACGGCAACAACGGCAACAACGGCAACAACGGCAACAACGGCAACAACGGCAACAACGGCAACGGCAAAGGCAACGGCAACGGCAACCGCAACGGCAACCGCAACGGCAACCGCAACGGCAACGGCAACGGCAACGGCAACGGCAACAGCAACAGCAACAACAACAACAACAACAACAGATTTGGCGCGTGCTGAAGACCTCCTCTCCTCACTGGTGACTAACACAGACATGTCTAACCAGCCAGCAAACCCCTGGATTACCTCCGAACGACGCAGGAGACCCAGTCCCAATGCGGAATCCTCACCTGATTTCAAAATTTCCAAAAAACAAAAAGAGAGCAACAACATCGACCCTGGCCAAAGCCAACCCCTTGCCCCGGCACAGGGCTCACGCTTCAGCCCACTGGTGTCACACGATACTCAATCCTAGCGCTGTCCTCCACACAATATCAGTGAGAACAATACTTTCAATTCCGGAAATACCAAAAAAAAAAACGAAACAAATTACAAAAATAAATAAAAAATAATGGAAGTCGCGAATTTCATCAGCTCGAACGTCAGGTGTCTGTTCAACAAGATGGACGAGCTTAGCCACGTGGCAAAGTTGCAACAACCGTCAATAATCGCCATCCAGGAAACCTGGGCGGATCCATCGGACAGCGACGGGA